AGGGGGGGGGGGGGGGGGAAAACAGCAAAATGGATCCATGCACCGCTCCTTTCGCCGAGGCACACTCTGTGCCCTGCCATCACCTCACCCGCCAAGGATTCCGAAAACACCTCCAAAAACACACACATACATACATGCGTACATGCATACACACATGAAGAAGCTGCTCCTGTTAGCCGTCTCATCCCCCATCGCCATTTCCTTGTCGCGGCTAAGTTCACAAAACACACATTCGTAAGCAGTCGTACACGCACGTGCGTGTGTGTGCGTTCGTGTCGCAGGTGGATATTTACAACCACGTGGGTCGCTCACTCAATGTGGCGTACCTGTACGGCGCGTACGAGAACACCGTACATGTACAGCTCGTGATGGAGCTGTGCAAGGGTGAGCTGCCATGAGGGGTGAAGGGGGGGTTGGGGCATATGCACATAGTAGAGGGGGGGAGGGTGAAGGGTGAGGGTAGCTGAGAATGGATATAGCCCGATGAAGTGATTACCCACCGCCGGCATCCAACGGAAACTTCCAGATCAACGGCGGCTCAAGTCCATTCCTGGTCAGCTGTCAAGTCAACTCAGGGTTTATCCCAGGTCACCACCGTCCATCGATTAGGGGCACTTTACCTTCCACCATCGCATGGAACTTTCGACTCTGACAGGTTTCGATCCGGGAACATCCGGGGGCAACAGTGTGTGCTTTACCAGTAGTGCCTGACCCTGTAACTGTAACTGTATATGTATGTATATCAGGCGGGGAGCTGTGGACCCGGGTTCAGCGAGGAAAGTACGACGAAGCAGCTGCGGCGGCAATTGTACGGGAGATCTTGTGCACCCTGGCGCAATGTCATGCTAAAGGTCGGGGTGGGGGGGGGGAAGGGAAAATGTGGAGCGGGCCCATTTTTGTCGCTGTTCATTTTTTGCCTTCCTTTCGATCACGTATGTATGTATGTATGTATGTATGTATGTATGTATGCTACGTATTTATACTTGTACACAGCCGTACACTCGCCGCTGCCTCAGCCGCATCCGAGGAACCTTTTCATTCTTTCTTTCTCCGTACAGCTCGTGGGTATATCCCGAACCGTCTCATCACACACATACGCACACGTACACATACATACACATACATACATATATCTGATTCCGCTCCACTGCGGCGTCGAACATCGACAGACGATCCGTGTTTCGTGTTTCTTGCATCTTGGTGCCGGATCCGGCCCCTCCTGTACACCCGCCCGCCTGCGAATGAGCGCCTTCGAAACATACCCACCCCACCACCACACACAACCCCCACACACCCAAACACATTCCACACACATACACACCCAAACACATTTCGCCTTTCCCCCCCCGCTTTTCCCCCCCTCTAACCCCCCAACAGGTATAGTCCTCCGGGATGTGAAACCCGAGAACTTCCTCTTCCTGACACCCGCCCCGGACTCCCCACTTAAAATGATCGACTTCGGGCTGGCCACGTACTGCAAGTACGGCAGGATCCAGGGCGAGCGTAGAGGGGTCGAACACGGGCGAATAAACACAAATTCCGTTCCTTGCGCAATTGCGCGCGTACATGCATACGTTCGTACAACACCACCGCATGGCATTCGTACGGCACACATCACACGTGTTGTGTACGGCAGAGTCGAATTCGATACACGTGTGTTTTCTGTACAGCCTGGCCAAGGCCGTCCGCTGACCTGGCTCATTCAAGGGGGATCTTTTACGGATTACCGCTTTCAAGCCCTTCCTTCCAATCCAACCACCACTTCATTTTCAGCACACACACACCCCGCCGGGGCCCCCAGGGTATCCGTCGAGGGGAGGGGAGGAGGGGGAGTTGGTGGCTCCCCCCCTCCCTTCCCGGCCCCTAGTGGTGACGGCAGCTCATTCCGTGTTTCCTTGCAGCATATCATTCTCATCCTTCCTTTCCTTTCTTTTCTTTGTGCCCTCCAACCTGCCACTTCACTTCACTTCCCGCTCTGGCTCCCGCTACCCGGCCCCCTCCCGCTTCCCGCCGTAACCCACTTCTTTTCCCAATACTGACTTGGCGACATGTAATCCTCCGGGCCCCCCCCCCCGCGGCTCCTCCTCCTTCCCAACATTTCCTCAGACCTGGCCAGTTGCTGAGTGATAGGGCTGGCTCCCCTCTTTACGTGGCGCCAGGTAGAGGCATGGAGGAGGGGCATGAGGGCGGGGAGGGAAGGGCAGGGAAGAGCGACTGCTACTGCTGATGCTAGTGCTTTTTGCTACAACCGACCTTTTGGCTCTTTACTTCTTGCCGCCCTTTCCCCCAGCCTCCCAACCCCCCAAACCCGCACCCTAAGGAACATACACACACAACCCCCCCCTCACCCGCCCTCCTGCTCGTAGAGGTCCTCAAGCAGTCGTACGGCCAACCGTGTGACGTGTGGAGCGCCGGTGGGTGCCCCAGGGGGCGGCGGAGGCCCTAGGGGACGGGACTGGGGTGGTCCGGCGTCTGGAGGCAGAGTGTATATGACTCTTGCTTTCCTGCGATGATGATGATGGTGGTGGTGGTCGTGGTGGTCGTTTGGGATTTTGAGGCTGCGTTCTGGCGTTTCCAATTTTGCCATTGCCATTGCCATTGAATCCCCCCCTAGGGGGGGATTCTGTAAACTATTTCAGGCAAACCGTGTTTCAGCTAATTGCGATGCTTGGGTGTCGTATTGTGCTGCCGTACTGTGTTCATGTCGTGAAATTTCCGCTCCGGCAAGTTCCCGCTTATCCATTTTCCCCCCCTCTGTGTGTTCCCCCCTGCTCCCCCCCCCGGGAACCCCCGGCCTCCCCCAGTTGTGATCGCCTACCAGCTGCTCACGGGTCGATTCCCTTTCGAGGACGAGGACCAGGGGCTGCTGTTGAGCTCCCTGAACGTGCTGGGGAAGAGACACTTCACCAATAAGGAGGTCGGGGGGGCGGGGGGGCAGGGGGCCGGGGGGGGGCTTGTTTGCTTGCGTGTGTGTGTATGGGGGGGTTGTTTGGGGGGTTCATATTTTTGAAAATAAAAGGTCGCGGATGGGGCTGAAAGGGGTTTGGGGGGGGGTTGGCCTCTGGGTGCAGGCGGAGATGGGGTTGGGGTTGGGGGGAAGAGATAGTAGGGGTCGGATGGGGTGGGGTGGGGTGGGGTAGGGTGGGGTGAAGGGTGTGGTGAAGGGTGGGAGTGTGCGGTGGGTTGAAAAGGTGTTTGGGTATGTGATGGAGGAGGAGGTGGGCGCTACGGCGGCAAGTGCTGTCTCCCGAGACTGTAATTTGGTGACCGTGAGAACTGTTGGCAGCGGTTGGTGGCGGTTGGCAGCGGTTGGTATCGCTAACAGCGGTAATGGTCATGATGGTGGTGGTGGTGGTGGTGTGTGCTTCAATAAATTGTGTATGTGTGTTTCGATACTCTGCCTCTCCGTACCCCCAATACCCCTCCCCTCCCCGCGCCCCCGCCCGTCCCCTCCCGGCCCTGGACCCCGATCCCACCCAACCCCCCAGGTGTTTTTCGCCATCCTGTACGGCGATCTGGATTTCAGCCGACCGCCATGGGACGAGATCAGTCCTCTTGCCAAGGGCTTCGTGTCGTCATTGCTGCAGGTGGTGGTGTGGCGGTGGTGGTGCGGGGGGGGCTGTTCTTAAGTTCTTGGGAATGGGCGGTGTGTTGTTTTCCGGAAGGAAGGGTTATTGCTTGGGGGCGGAGGCCCCGCAAAGTCAAGAAAGAGGGGAAAACGGCAATTGCAGCTGAGGAGTACGAAGTTGGCAAACGGCCCTTCACGCCACCCCACCCTACCCCCCAGGAGGGGAGGGAGGAGGAGGAGGAATGGAAATGGTTTCCCTTCCTGTTGGGATTCCTGTTGTGACGATGTGGGATGCGCCCTCTTTTCCGCCCCCCCCATCGGGACACGACACCTCCACGACCCCAATCAACAACACAACCCCACATCGAATCGGGCTGTTGGCGTTGTGTCCCACCACTTTCCCCCTCCACTCCCCCCCTCCACTCCCGCCGGGGGCTCCATGGAAAATACACACATACGCGTTCCTCCCCTCCCCGGCTGTAGCGGGATCCTGCCGTACGGCCCACTACTGTGGAGGCACTACACCACCCCTGGCTGCAGCAGTACGACACAGCGGCGACGACTAGCGGCAGTAGCAGTAGCAGCAACGGCAGCAGTGTTAATAGCGGCAGTAGCAGTGGCAGTAGTGGTATCAGCAACCAGCCGCTGAGCGATTCTCTGGTGCAACGACTACAGCGGTACGGCACGTACGGCAGGTTGAAGCAGCTGGCTCTGCGGTAAGAGTCTTTCTTTATTGTGGCTTTTGAAGCTGTGAGAGTCCGTTAGCGCAAAACCCAAAAAGCCCCAAAAGAGGATTATGTTACTGCATTTGTATGTTTGTATGTATGTATCTCTCCCGGCCGCGCACATCTCCGAACCGGCACGTGTGTGTTTCGCGCACTTGTTTTCCCCCGGGCCCCAGGTGGGGCCTCCACAGTCTGTGTCCCACCTGTGTGTGTTTTTGTGTGTTTTTGTGTGTTTTTGTGTGTGTACGTGTGTGTATCTGTCTATCTGTATGTGTGCGTTGGAGGGCTGCGCAACATCGCCCGTCCAACCCTTGTGTCAGCCCGAGGCGTCTTCAGACGTTGTTTCCGTTGTTTCCGTTGTTTCCGTTGTTGTTGTGCGTCGCGACCCCCTCCTTTTGGTGCTACTGCTCACCGGCTGGTGGAGCGCCTATCCAGCTCGTTTCCGTACAAAGTTCTCTCTCTCTATTATGATGATCGGCGTGATGATGATGCGTACGACAAGGATGCGAGGGTGGAAAATGCAGCGGCACTACCACCTGACATCACCACCACGATAATATCACCCACCATACCATACCCATCAACCTCTGCCAATGCTATGGTATTGCTGTTGTTGCTGCTGTTGAAGACGATTGCAAAGAGTCCGGTAACATCAAACTGCCCATACGCATGTATGCATGTAGTCACACATGCTCACCGATTCCCAACTTTCGTTGTTGGCATCCACATACATACGTGCGGTCGGCATCATGATCTTGCCCTGCATGGCTGAACAAACCAACAAACCCACTTAATCCAACCCAACGCAACCCGCCAATGTACGGCGCAGTGCTGTCGTAAGCTTTATGGCGACCAGTGATCACGCGCGTGTGGCCTCCCTGGAGGCGGCATTCCGACAGCTGGATCCAGGGGGCGCGGGACGAGTGCCGTACGAGGCGGTTGCGGCCATGCTGGGGGGCGAGGACTGGGACCTGAGTCCCACGGGTGGGGTGTACGGCGTGATATACGGCGGGGAGGGCGGGGACTGGGGCGGGGAGGAGGTGGAGGAGGAGGGTTTGGAGTTCTCGGGAAACGCGGGTGGGTGGGCCGGGGGGAAAAAGAGGAGAACAGGTTCTGATGGTGGTGATCATTGCCGTTAAAGGAGGAGACCTATTGGGCAGGAGGGATTGGGATTGGGGTTTGGGTTTTTTTCAAGACAGTGTGGGGCCAGGTGACCTCTCGTGCAAGTGGAGATGCTGCATGTGTGTGTATCAGTGGACCTCTCCCCCCTCACACACGCCACACACCGCCACCAAGTGGCCAGCAGCAGCGGCAGCAGCAACCCCCAACCAACCTCTTTCCCCCAACCCCCTTTCTCGCTCCCTCCCGCTTGCATCCCCTCCCCCCTTCCTCCCAATCCTCCTCCTCCCACTCCTCCCCGCCCCAGTCCACGCCCTCACCGCCGTATATCACGCCGTACA